GACGGCGTTCTTCGATGATTCACCCTTTCCCGCGGGATGTGCATCTAGCGGGGGAAACTGCTCGGCCGTTTTTGGCTTTTGCCGCGCACTTTGGCGTGTGACCTTGCTGGTCCCCTTGGAGCTTGCCCCTTGTTCTGGTGGGCGCGTTTTCACAGGAGCGGCTGCGGTGGGGCTGCGTCCTTTGGGGCGCGTGCAACGTTTATGGCCTGTTCTTCCTCTACGGGCTCCGATCCCTCTTCACTGCTTTCTTTAGGTGGTGCCTCCTCCGTTTGGTTAGAGACGGGTGCATCCGCTCGTCCCGCCTCGTCCGTGCCGTTCGATCCGCTTCCGGTACATTCCCCGTCATCCAGGAGGTCGCTTTCTAGCGGCATGCTCGCCTGGCACTTGGTCTTGGCGGCGTACGTGGGCACACACTCCGATTCCAAGTGGCCGTAACTTCTGCAATGACGGCACCAGGACGCCCGGCATTGCCTTCGCATGTGTCCCAGTTGGCCGCAGCGGAGACACATCGGCGGTCGGCCTGGGACATATAAAAGGACAGGATATCCAGCCACTTTCCACTGATGTGGTAGGTCTTCCTTTCCGTTTCCCTCCTTCATCGGGATTGTGAAAAACCTTGTCGACGTTTCGACTTCGTATTCTCCACTTGGAGACTTCCATTTTTCCCTGCAAATTTTCGTCACGTTTCCATGCTCCACGAAGGCCTTGCACACCTCTTCATCGGTTACGAACGTGGGGAGCCAGTTGACTCGTACCACGGCTTCTTTTAAGTTGGGGTCAATGACAATGCATCGCTTTCCTTTCACCGTAATCTCCTTCAGAGCGACGAGGCGTTCCTTATTGTCAGTGGAGTCCAGCGTGCAGACCCACACGTGGTTGAACTTGAAAGCTCCCAGTCCAACCACGTGCTTCATGCCGACAGTTTCCTCAAGCGCTTCGACGAAGTCCTGCGTGCGATGAGGCCTACCTTGAGGGTCCCCGTGTAGAAACACCGTCTCCGCCAGCCTCTTTCCACTCGGTAGCATAGGCACGATCATTCGGTAGTCCGCGAAGGCCTGGTCGGCCGCCGTGGCGAGGGCAGCCGCTCCGTTGAACATCGCTCCTGTCCCGGGGAAGACGGAAGGGCGTCCGTTCCCCACACGCGCTGCAGGGCGTGTCAACAAACCAACCAACAAACTCGGCTTTAGCTTAAAAAATAGACTGATAATAATTTTTTGTGCATAAATGTAAACAATTCGACCTCAAAACAAGCCATTAAATATTCCTACTAGGATCTATCAGGATAAGGATCAAATTGAAATAGTTCGTCCTATAAAGACGCTTCGTGTTTGTTTTGTTTTCGCACTATTTAACGAGGGAACGTGATTTAAACCACATCCGAATCATATTTAACTGAGCAAATGGTTTCGTTGAACAAGGGTACGCAGACATATTTTACCTACGGACCTTAAAAAAGCATTGTACGAAACCTTTTTATTACCCCCCTTAGACTGTCGTGTTTCAGAATGAGGTAAAACAACTTGCATAAATTTCATACCCTTATGCACGCCCAAAAGAGGGTCGCGCGTACGATCGAAAATTTCCCATGGTACACCCAATCCCACAGCAGTACTTATTTTATAAACACTAAGGTACTAAAACAAATGTGCATGACAAAAGACAAAGTTTAGCGCTATAAAAATAAAGCATATAAATTTAATAACATAAATGTAATGGACCTAACAAAACTGAGAAGAGACCCTCCACAGCGAAAACACCAAGCACACACAAAGGTGGAACATTCCATTTTCTAAGTGATTTCATGGTAATCATTCCGTCACCTATAACCTCCCAGTTTTGCTAAACGAATTACTAGGACATAAAATTACACCATAATTAATTTTCAATAAATGATTTGTAGTCGCATTGCTGTCAACACTCTAATGACCTATTATCTCAGTATTTGTGCTTAATAGCTACCTATATTCTTCTCCTTTTAAAGTATGATCATTACCACAACGTGAACTTTTCCTTGCTTTCACTTTTTTACTTTTGTTTTCGTTTTTGTTTTTGATCTGTTTATGTATATTCCGAGTCTTTCGTGCTTTCACTTCTAGACTGTTTCAAAACGTGTTCTAAATGATCGTGTTTCAGTGGTTTTATCGTGTTTCTTACACCTTCAATATTAGATCATATTGTAATTCCTAGAATGTATTTTTGTAAAATAATGCTTGTTGTTGTAATCGGTTACTTTTGTGTTATATGTATGTATCGGTTACAAGTCAAGAAGGTAGGAGAAGCTCCTCCCACAAGTGTGATGCGCCCGTTTCAAATCTCTCCGCGGTCGAAAGAAGAGTTCACTGGAAACGCTCCTTGTTCCGCTTCAATGGATTCCCTCTTGTCTCCGATCCCACTTTTTAAGAAAACGACCTTTGTATTCATCGGAGAGGGAACCGAGCCCCTGAAAGCAGCCTTTGTATCCATCGGGGGGGAAGCTAATCCCCGAAAGTCGTATTTGTTTCCGTCGGTGGGGGAGAATTCTAATCTCCCTCTCGTGCCTTCCACAATGCTAAGTCAAAGTCGAAAGATAAAGCAAATATGTACAGAAAGGCAAGACCCTCCTCGCGCGTTGGCCGCGACGTCACGGAAACGATGGGACGCTATTGGATGCGGAGGTGGCGGAGGGATATCTGATTCCCTTTGAGGGGCATTTGCCGCTGCCTTCTTAACCTGTAACTGACTATAGTTCATCGTCGCTTTGGCCCATCATGCCAACTGTACAGGGACAGAGCATTCTCAACTCACTACGGTGGATCTTTTTTTTTTCGGCCTAGTACTCCACTCGCAAAAACTGTTTCATTGTAAATTCTAGCGCTTCAGCACTCCAGTATAAATATTGAGGCGATGTATACCATCAAAAAGCTATTAAAACTGGAAACTAAAAAAAAGATAAATAAGGGCGAGCTTTTAAGTTTGTTTCCACCCTCTAAAGTAATATAATTTGCGTACCTCACGAGTTACGTCATGTTTCCAAAGCGCGTACTTTCAGGAGTACGAAGATGATATAAACATAATATAGGAATGACTAACAATCCGAAGGACAACATTGTTTTAAGAAACACTTCAAACCTTCCCATTACTATTCGCAAAATGATCCCAATCTCACTATTTGTTTATTTAATTTTTTACCCCGCGAGTGTTCAGTGTGTCTGGTTTTTATTTCGACACATATTTTTAAGTGAAGTGAATGTTACATAAATTCAGTGTTTGCTCCATGTGTATCGATATCGGCGGACATATTTGCTCAGAGGATGATTGTCACGACAAGGAGGCTAACTAACTACCCAAGCAAAACGGATTTTGGCCAGTCATCGGCCAATGGCTGGCGATGGTCCTTGGCCAAGTGGCCAGACAGTGGCCAGAGACTGGCCGGTGACTGGCCTTTATCTGGCCATTGGCCAATGGCCACTGGACATCAGCCATCGGCCAAGCATTGGCCAATGAATGGCCACTCTCTGGCCACTGGCCAAAGGACCATCGCCAGACATTGGCCATTGCTTGGCCAAAATCCGTGCTGCTTGAGTAAATTTGTTTACAAACATTTTTAATTTCTTGATGGGTTCAGGTTGCAATTGCAGTGTCAACATGAAGTACTGTTACAGGCTTTACGAATTTAAAGACTAGAAGAAAAGTCAACAGGCTTCAGTATATTATTTCGTAAGTTTTGGCGCTTCTGTCGCCAGATTAGGAAACTGAACAGGAAACACATCCGGAGGTCATGTCTTTATTGACGCTTTGGCGATTGACGTAGTTGTTTGAAATCCCGTAGTCAGTATTTCGGCAGCGCATCATTTGGTGAATGCGCCTACAGCCCATTACCGAGCTGGTGACGAGCGACTAGCAACGAGCACGTCACCTCTTTTTACGCATGATTTAAAAAAGGCTCGGGTCGTATGTTTGGGTCGTCTCTAACTCAGTCGACAAAAACACGAAAAGTGATCGATGAGTATTTAAAATACGGGTGCATTTTTGTTAACGTATGTACGTTGATTCAGCTTCTATATGTAACTGCTGTCAGTATTGCTATGACAATACCTATCGCATAGTTAAAACATAAGCAGAAACTTTTCTTCAACTAGTTTACTTAATGTCATGGTTATCATCCCACCTAATGTCCTACAAGCCTGGTACACGTGCAGTAAAGACGGTAACTATGTACCGCGCCTCCTCATTTTAATGAGAAAACATCGACTGGGGACCCCTGGAGCGGAGCCGTCGCCGTCTGTAACCACGAAAGAAATTCCCAGGAGACGGCGGCGTCTGTAACCACTGTAACCATGAGAAACGTGGAAAAGTCCCAGCGAAACGGCTCCCTAGATAGCCATTGGCTTGGAGGACGCGCATAATTCCCAGAAACGCCACCCCACACAGAAGCTCTCTTCCTGGCGCTCCGACCCGTTCGTCAGGAAAAACGCACGGTAGCGACGGCTCGGCCGTCGCTACCGTGTCAGTCCTCGCAGGGGATGGGGGGGCGTGTGTGTGTGTGTGTGTGTGCGTGTGTGTGTGTGCGCGCGTGCGCGCGTGTGCGTGTGTTTGTGTGTGTGTGTGTGTGTCTGTCTGTCTGTCTTTTCGGCGCTGAAAGGTGCCGAAAAGAGCAGAAACAACCGCAACCCCCCTCCCCCCCCCCCCCCTTCCTTTCGGCATTATAGTGCAGACATTATAAATTATAATAAACTCAGCTCAAAGGCTATAACTGCCGGCGGCGTTTCCGTCCAGTTTTTTTTTACTATTATTGATTGTAATATTGAGGAAGTTGAGTAAGGAATTCCTTGCCTAGACTAATTAAATTTAAACGAATGATGCTTGTTTATATTTTTGTTTTCTTTGTGGTCGACAGTCGCTCTCCGCAAGAAACTTAACGTTAAAGCTAAGCTCGAAGGTGTCATTTCATTCTTATCGAGATAGACTTAGGTCGACACCTGTTTCTTACTTATGGCGAGTGTCATAAACAACGCGATAACATGCGAAACGTCTTGTCTCTTTGCAGCGCTGACATATGTTACTTGACGCAACGTGTTTTAATCTGCCTTACCATTTTTTTTGTTATTTGTTTCAGATTGGTCGAAAGGTTCCTACTGGACGCCTAGTATCCTTGCTCCCGTCTTGCATGGATGGGCAACTCCGACTCAGCGGTGTCCCGTTTTCTGCGCTCGAAAGGCAGCCTCCAGTGTGGTGCATATTCAGATGGAACTCCGTTCATTTTATACGATTTAATGACAGGTATAGGCGAAGGAAGAAAAAATAAACGCATAGGGTACGATACAACTCTAGTTACAAGAAGCGAGTGCCTGCAGATGAGGTGGTTAGGAAACCACCTCATCTGCATATGTTGTGTAACATGTTACTTTGTTGTTTAATTACTTTTTTAATATTTTAAATACTCTGTTGGGGCGTCTTCAGATATAAAATCGAACAACCATGACCGGTGACCTTTTTTAATTGCGATGAAAAAAATTAATTTTGCTGGCTTTATGCGAAGAAAAAAACAATCCTTGTTTTCGGGAAAAAAATGTCTTTGCGAAAACGATTTGCAAGCACCCTCTCAGTCACGTGAGCGTTTTGCGTATCGCGCGATGTTGACATTTGGGGCGGCTTCCCCCAAAAACCTCTTCTGGCTACGGGTCTACAAATATTCGCTGACAAATTAGGCATAGGAAGAATTGAGAAAAAGTATTAAACACTGAGTGTTAGGGTAGTTATTTTGAGACAACAAATCGCAAACACGGCACATTGCGCAACAACGCCCTCGATTAAAGAATATTGTTCTCCATATATATATATAAGCTAAGGCCTTCAAATTTTGCCAGTGTGTTGCCCTGTAGATAGTTCATCTTTGCGTAAAATATTGTTGTCCTCGTTAACGGGAGAATTGTGCAAGAATTGCTCACACCGGGGCATTGAACTACAAATGCATTATTTTAAAAATTATTAAAAAAAAGACCATCTTTAATATTCTTTAAACTTTCTGGAATTAGCGTTTATAATATGTACTGAGTTTACAAAAAGATGATGCAATATTTGTGGGGCTTTTAAGTTACAAAGCGAGAAACATGGTCTATTGGACGTTACGCGGTTGCCATAAATGGGGCGGCACATACTCGTTCTTCACAATATCAATATTATTAAAAAGGCGTAAAAATGCTACGGGGTGGTCAGGAAAAGAGGCATTGACAGCACAGAGGAGGTCGGTAGTTATGAAGGCAAAATTTGTAATACATTTTTGTAGAACCGACCCAGAAATGCCCATGGGCAGGAGAGATCGAGGTGCGCCACTCTGTAGCATGCTTCGCGGTGCCTGTTTCAACGGCCGGCGTATAGCATGTCCGTCTACGCGACGTGAAGGAAGCAACCGGAGCGACTTTGCAAACAGATCAGCCTACGACCTTAACGGTAACATGACATGGGAGGTAGGACGCGGCAGAACCTGAACCTGCGCCGCCTGTGAGCGCCAAGAGATCTGCCGCCGTGGAGGACCGCACAACGCGTAAAAAATAAAAGATAATAAAAAAAATATATGCTTGCCTGAGATTGTCTGTGTTGGGCGTTTTCAAATAGAATCGGACGACCATGTCCGGTCGACATTTTTTTTTTATTTTTACCAGAATATATAATTTTTACTTCTGGAAGCGCAAAAACATTCTCAAATTTTTTTTTTGCGGTAAATAAAATTTCTTTTCTGGGAAAAAAAATCACACAGTCACTGTCGGTATGCTCACATATTTTTGCGACTCGCGTGAAACCGACCTTTTGGATATTTATTAAAGAAAAACTGTTGCAGTCTTAGGTTTAATATTTTTTTGTGCGGAGACTCTACATAAGATAAAAGCAGGTAAACATGCATTATCAATTACGAAGCATTTCGGAGCTTTATGGATGCGCATCTTAAAAGATTGGATAATCAATTTTTTAAATATGATTTGGAAGCGTTTGTTCTATATTCGCATAAATTGTCATCAAAAATTAAAAAAAAAATGATAACCTTTTAGAAAGAAAATACAATGAAATGTAGACAGCTTACCGCTTTTGCAGTAATTGTAAAAACAGTTTAAAATGAAGGTCATCGTAATTTTTCTTCTACTTTTCACAGATCAAGGCTCATAATCCGTCCTATCGGAACTTCAAAAATGCTTTGCAATATTCATTTTTTTATTTTTTATTTTATTTTACAGGGCTTTAGATATACAGAATTGCCGTAACGGGAGTACCGAAAGATAGTACGTTGCCGATTTTAAACAAGGGCAAGCAAGGGGTCAGAAAGTGTATAAAGTCTGCGAAGAGAAAGCACTGACAGGAGTTCGTGAAAAATAACTATTCATACAAAAGATTGCAGGTGAGTTTCAAGCACAAGTAAACAATTTAAATACAGATTTCTCGGATCAGTAAATCTCGGAGCCTACCCTGCGAGGGGAAACTGGGCGGCTGACGACCGGGTTTAGATAGTGATAAGAAAGAACACATGTTTAAAGTGGTACAATTGAAACTCGCTTAACTAATCAAGATCCTGTGCGCACATTCGGCGCTTCTCGCGTGCATTCTTTCTGCTGGACGGTGACCTGAGTTAATCACGGCGCTCTGCTGGCACTCCGAGGAGGAATATTTTTTTCCCATTTCGCCTGTAGCGATCACTGTTCGTTTCTTTTCAGCGGCATCGCAAGCTCCCGACATCGATGTGCTTTTCGCCGCCATAGGAGACTGCTTTCAAAGATATATCTTTTTCTGCGTCTACTGTTCTTGCTAAAACAGCTGTGGTTGAAATATACGTCGGATCGGTACACTGCTACAATTCACCGGACTGAGTTACACGCTCAAGAGAAACAGAGTGCCACTTGTTTGTTTCCATGTCCCTGAACGCTTTAACGTCAGCTTTCTGGAGGTGGATTAGTTTCAAGTTCGGCATTTTAGTGTTCAGTGGGGCAACCACCTCGACGCCGACTTCATCACGAACTTGGTGAGCCGTCGGAGGCCGTTGTCTGGTGCTTGACACGACCCCCGATTCAATCACAGGCAATCTTGCCATGCCAGGTTGCGGAAACAATACACTTCGCTGACGTGTATTTGTGGCTCTGCAGCTCGTGTAGTTGGTACTTGTTCTTAAAGTAGTTGCTGCACCATCACTTCCGTAGGTTACATAAGCATACTCAAATATGATTTCAAGTTTGTCCAAACCGTCGTCTTATAAATTAAGTTAAAGGCAAACTCAATAAATTGCAATTCTTGTTTTCTTTTTTTATGTATCCTTATTTTCTACGCGGTGTGCGGCCCTCCACGGCGGCGGATTTTTGGGCGCTCACAGGCGGCGCAGGTTCAGGTTCTGCCGCGCCCTACTTCCTATATCATGTTACCGCCAAGGTTGTAGGCTGATCTGTTGGCAAAGTCGCTCCGGTTGCTTCCTTTACGTCGCGTAGACGCAGACGCTATACGCCGGCTGTTGAAGCAGGCACCGCGAAGCATGTTAGAGGGGGGCGCACATCGATCGCTCCGGCCCATGGGCATTTTTGGCTCGGTTGTGGAAAAATGTATTAGGAATTTTCCCTTCAAAAATACTGTCCAGCTCTGTGTTGTCAATTTGTCTTTTCTTGACCACCCCGTATCATTTTTGCACATTTAATAATAATGAAATTGTGAAGAACGGGTATGTGCCAGCCCCTTTAAGGCTACCGCATTAGCATCAATTCGCCATGTTTCTCGCTTTATAACTTAAAAGACGCACAAATATCGTATTCGTGATATTGCACAGTTTAATATTACATATTATAAACGTTAATTTCAGAGAGTTTAAAGGACATTACCGATGGCATTTTTTAAAATGATTTTCCAAATAATGCATTTTTAGTTAAATGCCCCTGTGTGAGAAATTCTCGTAAATTTCTGCCGCTAACCAGGGCGACAATGTTTCACGCAAATGTTAACTGTATACAGAGCAACAGACTGCCAAAGGTCGAAGACCTTAGCTTTTATAAATACGGAGAAAATACTCTTTAATCCAGGGCATTATTGAGCAATGTGCCAAAATAACTGCCCTAATACTAAGTCATTAATACTTTTTGTCAGTCCTTCCTATGCCTTATTTGTCAGTGAATATTTCTATACCCGTAACCAGAACAGTCTTTTGGGGGAAGCCGCCCGAAATATCAACATCGCACGATACGCAAAACGGGCACGTGACTGAAAGGGTGCTTACAAATATTTTTCTCAAAGACGCATTTTTTTCCCCGAAAACAAGGATTGGTTTTCTTCTTCTGGGAATACAGCCAGCAAAATATATTTTTTTTCATCAAAATTACAAATGGTCACCGGACATGTTTGTTCGGTTTTATCTGAAAACGCCCTGTTTACGCACAGTGAACAAGCGATCTGCATTCCCGGGGACCTTCTTTTATGTGCACTCCTAAGGATTTCGCAAACTTTTGTCCAACCCCAAGGATCAACTGGTTCTCCAAACCTTCAACTCTATTTCAAATTTGAACAAGGTTTGACGTGTAAACAGTATTATCTGACTTCAACACAAAAGCTTCGATTGAAATGTAAAATACATTATGGAGAATTTAAAAAAAAAACAAAAAAAAACAAAAAAAAGCCGTTTACAATTCCCTGTAACGCCGGTTAGAGCGCAGCTCTTGAGGAGGAGGATGGAAGCGTACTGAGGGATAGGTGACTCCTTGAGGTCACGTGACCTCAAGGGGGGGTCGTGCGACATCAGGGGGTCACGTGACGTCGAGGGAGGGGGATCACGTGACATCAGGGGGTCCGTGATAATGTTAGTAAATTTGATACAGAGCCGTACATTTTCTCCACTCAACGCCTTTACAGCGTTCACTCTGTTAAACTGGAAAGAGTGAAGGGCATTGCGAGAGGAGCTTACCCTGTTATTGCCCACGTGAGGTCACGTGATCTCCTGAAGTCACGTGACCCCATGAGGTCACGTGACCTCAGGGGGTCACGTGACCTAGGAGAATTGGGGAGAGGGGGTCGCATGACCTCAGGGGGCCACGTGACCTCGGGGGGGTCACGTGATACGTGACCCCCTGAGGTCAGGCGACCCCTTCTCCCCAATTCTCCGAGGTTACATGACTTGGGAGGTCACGTGACCTCGCGGTTACGCCAACGGCGACGCCGCTGATGCCGGAAACGAACCCTAAGAGCTGCGCTCTAAAACATATATATATATATATATATATATATATATATATATATAGAGAGAGAGAGAGATATTTAGAAGGTGACCCAAGCCACCAGGCTCGATCTAAAATAAACCGTAAAAGTGAACGCCTGCACGAGGCAATCCAAACTTTTCGCCAAAGATGCATTCCACAGGTCGTCTTTTTTCTTGTAAAATTATAAAGCGTAGCTCTCTTTCTGTAAAAGATAGGGCCAAGAAACTTGCCAGGGTCTATGGCGGGCGGTGATGCAGGCGAACAAGTCCAGTAGCGGGGTGTGTTTGGCGTTCATATTCATAAATAGCGCTACCTCCTTACCGCTACTAGAGTTCCTGTATAGGCTCCCTACGGGAGCCAGAGTTGCGCGTTTATCTCCGTAGTGCCGCCTTTCCTGCACGGCATGTTGATCCCGCTCGTCACGTGATTGAATTCGGCGAATAGCGGCGCCGCGCGTTCGAGGCGCGCGGCGCGCTCAAAAACAGGGGAACGTACGCCGGGGCCCGTGCAACGTCTACTTTCCTCCGCGGCACTTGATCTGGCTCCTCACGCGATTGAATCTCGGCGAATAATGGCGCGGCGGCACGTGGAAAACAGACGCACACTCTGGCTCTCGTAGGGAGCCTATACAGGAACTCTAATCACTACGGCTCGCGACCGCCGTGGTTTATTAAAATAAACATAATCTTTATTAAATGTACGTTTGGTTAAAAAAAATAACGAGAACAATAAAAGCAAAACTTAAAGTAAGAAAAAACACGTCTGCATAACGACGGCGCTTTTGCTGCCAACGGATTTCGTCTGCTTGTCGTCTGCTTTCTTTCGCTGGCCGGCTGCATATTCGGACGCTGCTCCCAACGCCATCTGTCAGTAAAAAAAAAAAAAAAAAAAAGAGTGACACCGTTTTATTAACAAGGGGCAAAGGAATATACTCAATATTTGCCAATTTCAGCACATAGAGCTATCGGAGATAAATACCACGCGGCCAAACTTATTAGTAAACAATGAACGGCGCTACGAGTATATCACCTTATTTCCGATCTTTAAACATTACTAGAACACCCGAGAGGATAAGAAAAACAGGTAGGTTCTTCTATTGTCCTGCCTCTCCGCGAGGCTTCCCGGCTTCGATAACTGAAGGGCATCCACGAGAGTGAGAGTTCCTGACAAAGTAAAACCGTAATGAAAATCCCAGACCCCTAACAGACCTTTTTTCAACCGTGTCACAAACACCTTTTGGCAAGTATATGTCCAAACACGGTGGCGCCTTCTTTTCTGCCTTCAAACGTTCCCCTGATTTAAACGGTAAAGAGAGAGAGAGAGAGGCAAGGCTTAGGCCTACGGCCGCCAGTGTTTCACGCGTGCACGGATGACGCCTCGGAGGTCTGCTTACGGCACTATCGAAAGCGGCAATCTTCGCGTATATGTACGCGCGATTTTTGTCAGAGGCCTAAACTTTCAGCGCGCAGGCGGTGTCGCCTTGCCGCCAAAGAGCTGCTGTTTACCGTCAGTATCGCCAAGGCGTCGTGTTTACGCCATCTAGGGTGTTCATGAAGGTACGTCTCGTTAACCGTAAACGTTCGCGCACTTTACTACACCTCGCGTAACGGAGAGGTCACCGCTCGGCTGTCAGGAGCCGCCTTATCACAAACAACGAGCGCGAAAGGTCACGGTCGTCCGCTGCTTGAAAAAGAGCGAGACGTTCAAAATAAGCCAATCAGGAACTCAGATTTGCCCCGTGGTTTTACTCCACGAGTAAGTCCCAATACGCGTCCGGGCATCCGAAATGGGCGCCCTCTCGTTCTCGGCCTGGCAGTGAGTACGCGACAAGCTGTGCTTTTCACTTGACTTCACGCTGCAGCAAGCCTCGACAGGTGTCCACGTTTGCCCTCAACATCTTCAGGCACCAGACCAAGGTGGACGGGGAAGAAGTGGTTGTCGGTGAGTACTGCGTCCATCGTATCATTAACCTGTGGCAAAGTTTGTTTGTTGTTTGTTGGTTTGTTCATTTATTCATACTTCACAGTCTCCGATAACAGGGCAACAAGCAGATATGCTCCGCCTGACGTGGCCTCGTTACCGGTTTACAATGCTCAGCACAACAGAAAACAAAAACACGCACACACCAATCACAAACAATAATCAGCGAATAGGAACAAAACATAAACTTAACTTTTATACGGAAGTTACAAAACATAGTTGAGATAGTTTAATATATTTAATAGAAAAGACACTTATTAACAGTAAAACTATAACAGGCATACAAACGTGGTTAAAGGGGTACTCCACCGATTTTTTGAGCTACCTCAACTAACTATATTTTCTGACTCCCCGGCCTTTACTCTCTCCGGTATGCTATTCAGAATCGCGAAATTCACAATAGTTATTGCGAAATCGGCAAATGAAAATGATGCAAAAACCAACATTCAAATATACGCGCGCTTTTCAGGGCCGTGACGTCAGTGGCAGGCAGGCTTGCCAGTCGAGCAGGCAGCCAAAAAATAGAATATGCCGATCATTTGCTCCGTGCTGGAGCGCGGGTACTGCAGCGAGCTTCCCAAGCATTCATCTGACACCATGAAACTGCTTCAAATCAGTTTAAAACAAAATCTACAGCCCAAAGAGTGAACCCCTGCCTTCCACTGACGTCACTTTTTCACTGTTGCCAGTAGAGACTTCGAGCTTGAAAAACACGGTGAGGACCAAAACTGTAAATTCAATAACTTCGCGAAAAAACAATATTTTGACGTATTATTTGGGATACTATTTTCGCGATGTTTGTTGGTTAGTTTAGCAAAATTTCAAGCAAATCGGAGACAATGAAAAAATCGGTGGAGTAGCCCTTTAAATCTATTACACATATACGTTTAAATATTAATACCCTTGTACATTATAGAAGATAATTTTTGATTAAACTTTGATACCCGTGGTTAGACCCAGAGTTTTGAATAATTTCATGGATGTTTAGATGTTTGTTTAGTATATCTCGTATTAAATATATCAATTGTTGTGTACCGTAATTTGTTCACACCAAAAGTGTTCTATGTGTGCTAAAGACGCTAAAGCCTGGTGCACATATTTGAGTTAGAGTGAGGTCGACAGCGTTAAGGCGGATTGTGTCCGCTTGCGCCATCGATCAGATAGCATTGGAAACATTTAACTATGCAGGCAGAAACTTGAGTCTTCATTCTGAATTCAGAGAACTCCTGCAGCGCCTAGAAGGCAATATTGCAGGGGGCGAATAACAAAAAAAAAAAAAGAAGAAAGTTTCAGCATTTGCAGCCGAAATTACATATTCTTTTAAAGCCTTCCAGTCCTTGACCGTCCTTACAAAAAACGATTTTATGCAGTCCTGGTACAGTAGTCGCCTATTTTGTGCCCATGATCATTCCGCGTGGAAAAATAATTTGGTTTTAAGAGGTGTGCTGAGCTATTAACACCAGTAGCTTCGTAATAAATGGTGTATTCAAATTTCAACCGTAAATTGCTTAGCCGGAGATCCAATGACACCATCCAAGTGATTGTTACATGTTAGTTACACTAGAAAAGCGGTCGTACTGGCACAGGATGAAGCGTGCAGCATGATTTTGTATTTTCTCCAGGCCATCAACGCAATTTTGTTTTGGAAGGGTTCCACACAGAGAGGAGGAGATGAAAGCGCACGGGGTGTCAGAACGCCGAGCTCTGGTTGGACCAATTAGTGGGTAGACAAAAAGCTAGCTGCCTTTACCTCTACCGCACTCGTCGAACGCGGTAGAACGTGAAAAGCCCGCGTCTCGCGTTTGGCTTTGGCATTCAAACGCGACCGACGAGTGCAGAGCAGACGAAGCTTTGCGTCTACACCCTAATCGTTCCAACCATTGCTCGGCGTTCTGACGTCCTTGAGCGCTTTCCTTTCTTACTCTCCCCCGATCACTGCCCGCAGAAAGTAGACTGAACACTTTCCCGACCTATGGAAAGAAGCTGCGAAACGGATGGAACATTGAATGCAAATTACCTGCGGCGGATAGTGATTGTATTGTAGTCTTTATGGGTAAACATAAAGTTCGCGCGAAAGTTTGCGGTAAAATAGAGCGCCGTTCAATAACGGCCCTTGTCCTTGGTCGTGGAGGCGTTGCCGCTGGTCGCTCTAGGAACGCTATTTGGGCGTTGCCCTGCTAGCGTGCGGCAACAAAGAACAACCTCGTTCGAAAGATACACCACGGTGGAGTTTGTCGACTGATAGGTCTCAGAACGTTGACCCAGTCGGCAGAGACGAAACCTTCGAACAGCCACGTGAAAATGCAATGACAAGATATAGTGCATGAAATGCATTATTGGGAATCGGGGGTGAATTGGTGTGTGTGACGGATATTTTCCCGCTAAATGTTGCCGCTAAACTGAATGGGTGTATAGCTCACGAGACGTGAGTTCACGGGACGTCGATTTCCCCCGCTAAATTTAGTGGGGAGACTGAATGGATGTCTAGGTAACAAGAGATGAATTTTCTGGCAAATTTAGCGGGTAACTGTATCTTTTGTAGGTCATATGAAGTCAATTTCCCACTTAATCAAAAGGGGGGAACTGAATTAATACTTTGGCCACGAGACGTGAAGTTTAGCGTTAAGTATAGCGTGCAAACATTGACGGCATGTGACCTATACGTCACATGCCATCAATGTTTGCAAGCTATACTTAATGCTAAACTTCACGTCTCGTGGCCGAAACATAGCAACGTTAGTAGAACTGACTCAGTTTCACAGTTCCACGCTCCAGGCAATGGACGGAAGTGGCGCAAGTGGCGGTCGCAAGAACTAACGGCGCTGCAGTCGAATCTTGCGCCTTCCGTCCCGCGCGTCGCCTGCTGCAGCATAGAGTGAAGGCGTGGTGTGCTGCGGGCGATTTAATTTTCACGCTCGCTGTTCCGCTCTGCAGCAAAATGCTGCATGATCAGCTGTTCACGCTGTTCGACGCAACTATAAACGATGGATTGGAATCCGCATGGCTATAAAGCTTAATTGTTAATTGCTTAAATGACGAATTCCGTGGCTTTACTCATTTGCGGTTTTTTAATAGTCTCCGCGTCTATCGTTTTATCTGTTTCTATGAGTTTTATTGCTAATTTGTTAAGAGAAGAATGATTCGCAGGTGCTCCCGCGTAGGATTGCATCTTCACCTATCTGCCAGCCACGCATACCTCCGGCGACCCACTTTTCGTGCAAATAAAATAAACACGATCACTGTGCGGCCAATTTATGCCGGAGCTGCCCTGAGCTTTTTGAAAGTGTTCGTCTGAGACCTATTGAATAATCGGCGCTCATTTTTTTTCAATCAAACTATGGTTTTATAAAGCGGTTAGAGTCTCAATTTCATGTCCGATGTTGAAAGAGCCCGAGCAGTGGTGCGCAGCGCGTGCATAACGCGCCCGGTGATGTAGTCAATTAAAATACGATTGGTAGCTTGGTGTTATCTACCTCTGGGACACAAAATTCTTACCTTAGAGGCAACGTTTGATTAACAAAAATAGTCTTACCTTACGTTTCATGCTGCACACAAATAGTGCAGTTAATAAACAGACCAAGCACAACCTTTTTTTTCTATTGTCAGAATTTAGGCTAATATATTTCTCCAACAATTGCACTTTTGAAACACCTCTAATGCAGCCTGCAATCTGCATGGCAGGATGACCTGTGCACAAATATTAAATCAACTTTGCCCTTTTTTTTACACTCCTCATCTCTTCAGCAAGTTACGTTTCGCAATTTTCTTTTTGCAAAAGAGGTAGGTTCTCATAAGAATGTAGAACATTACTACACTGGCTGTCCCTTCCTGTGTTCTCTGTGCTTGTGGCTTCGCAAAGTTTCAGTTCATCCACTTGGCTCAATATATTTTCGTCGTCAGCGGCATTCTTAATGTCACGTGACAGCTGCTTGTGACGCTTGCCGTAGCCGCTCACTACGCAGTTTAAGGGCTTGCCAAAAACAACAGTCTTCTGCACAAGTAGGTTAACTTGCACAAGGCAACGCGTGTAGAATATTCCACAACTCTTGCCCGCCGCTTTATCATCCCAGCGTTCAAGGATCCACTGCTGTGACGGTAAAGTGACAGTTAATAAATGATCCTCTGTAAGAGTAGCATCGGCACTCGAGCTTGCATTCGCGCCTTTTTTAAGGGTGTTAAACGCATCTGAGGAATCCTCCGCCGACAAACCCAACCCCGAGTTCATACATACTTTAGCGCGTTTCTCGGGCGATTTTCTATTTGCCGAGAATTCGGGCTTCGAGATGTGCGTCGGCAGCGTGAGAAACGAACGCGGAATCGCACCCGGTGCTAGCTGCTACTTCCCACGAGGAACAAGCACCTCTTCACCGCCAACAACGTGACTGTAGTGCTTGATGACATCCTCGTCTTCCAATTGCACGTCGCAAACCTTACACTTTGCAGTTAGCTTCCTGTTCTTTCTGTACAGAGCTTGTTATCCCCCTTTGAATTCAGTAAATGTCTCACCGCAACCCCCATTGTTGCGGTAACAACTCTTGCACCCAACCCAGAACAGGTCTTGATGGCACGTCCCATAGGAATTGAAACTAGGCTATAAAGAACACGTAATTCAGGAAGCTCGCAAGACAAAATGGCAAAGACAGCGCAAAACAAGTTAACGAAGCACAACGTGAAGAGCGGGGCGAGCGCCCATCGCATACTAAGCTGAGAGGCTTGAGGAATCGGAACCAACACTCGAGTGCAGCGACACTAGTACCCGCGACCGCCGCGGAGCCCACGTTTCCAGTGGAGCTGTGAAACTGTGGCTGTTCTAGTAACGCTGGGTCTATAGGTCAGGTGACGTCAAGTGACGTCACGTGACGTCCCTTTCCCCAATTAATTTAGAGGAAAATGCACGGACGTGCCGACAAAATTTACTTTGGAATTGGGGGGGCAAGCGCTAAAAATCATTTCTTGCATTA